ATACAAATATTGATTCTTTAGCAGTTTTACCCTTACATTGATGAAATTAGTATTGCCGATTTCATAATCCACCTGAACATACACTATTTCGCTTACTTAATTTACGAGTATATTTGACCAGTAAACAGAATTATTTGACCATGTGTTCGACTAAATTATTCATACTGAGTGATGATTGAAGGTGGAATGAAAATTTGAACCGCAGCCGGATTCTAACCAGTGACAACTGGGTCACCGGCACGATACTCTACCTAACGAGCTACAAGACCCAACTACTGACCAGATTTTTATTTCACTTCAATCATCAAGGTTTCTCATCCTGAATTCCATATTAGATTGTTCATTTGATACAGCACACAGTATAATTTGCTGGATGAAGTTTCGAGCAGAATTTATTGTTCAGTACATTACATAATTACATAATATAATAGTTGTGAGGTCAAGTACACAGGTCAAAACAGACTATCCGTGTCAGTCAGAATAGTAGAACACAGAAATTTGCGAAGCACACAATGGTAGACCCTACTAAGATAAGTAATTTAGAAAAACTCGGCTATCGCTCTGTATGCATTGACCCATTATCACGCCTAACACATGTAACAGGAATGACTCATCACATAAGACTCTACTACAGTACCCAGACTTTATTATTACAATATTCATTGTGAACTTCTATTTACGACAACTCGAACAAATTGTTTTGACAGGAAACTTTTCCCATTTTAAGGTACCTGAAAAAATTCCTTCCTTATTTATCAAAACAAAAAAGGCGGTTAGAGTGAAAATAACTACTTGCACAACGACTCATTTTCAAAGTTGCTCACCCATAAACATATACAATCTAAGACACAGAAAGTTTCACACAAATTCACAGTCAAAGTCGATTGAACAGTCTTATTCCATATTAGACTGTTTATTTGATATAGCACAAAGTGATTCAGTATAATTTACTGAATGAGATTTTGAGCAGAATTTTTTGTTCATATGCATATCGAAGTAATAATGCGACTTCCAAAGTTCCTTTATATAGTCCAACAGTTCGTTCATTTATTTTAATGGCAGTAAGATTTTCTATAAATCCGCAATGTGTGATGAGTCATTCCTGTTACATGTGTTAGGCGTGATTATGGATCAATGCATACAGAGCGATAGCCGAGTTTTTCTAAATTACTTATCTTAGTAGGGTCTACCATTGTGTGCTTCGCAAATTTCTGTGTTCTACTATTCTGACTGACACGGATAGTCTGTTTTGACCTGTGTACTTGACCTCACAACTATTATATTATGTAATTATGTAATGTACTGAACAATAAATTCTGCTCGAAACTTCATCCAGCAAATTATACTGTGTGCTGTATCAAATGAACAATCTAATATGGAATTCAGGATGAGAAACCTTGATGATTGAAGTGAAATAAAAATCTGGTCAGTAGTTGGGTCTTGTAGCTCGTTAGGTAGAGTATCGTGCCGGTGACCCAGTTGTCACTGGTTAGAATCCGGCTGCGGTTCAAATTTTCATTCCACCTTCAATCATCACTCAGTATGAATAATTTAGTCGAACACATGGTCAAATAATTCTGTTTACTGGTCAAATATACTCGTAAATTAAGTAAGCGAAATAGTGTATGTTCAGGTGGATTATGAAATCGGCAATACTAATTTCACCAATGTAAGGGTAAATCTTGGTTATTAACTTGGAACTGGATTCCATATTTGATTCATTTGTTTGTTCTATCACATATTGATATTGCAATGTATACAAAATTAATTATATTTCATAACTGTGTGATGTGAAATATTAATTTTTGATTTTACTTATGTTCAGGCTACTATATTGTTTCACGTTTAATTGAATATAAGCAAGGTTTGATAACAAATGGATTAAGGAAATGGAAATATTATAGTCTGTATGGATGTCAAGTTTAGCAGACGGCTTTTAGACGTCAATACTCACTTCCATCATTGTTGATATCTTCACTGACCTCTTTGCCAATAACAAGTATGATCGTATGGTCATGCGTCAAGTCATTAAATGAATGAATTATGTAGACAGAAACAGGAATGGAAAATCTAGGCCTGAGATAATTATCTTTTATTGGAGTATATCGAATATTGGTATTTTGTGATATTATGTCATAGACGTTTTGGAAAGCCTTCTTTCCACTAATTAAACAAGTTCCACTGCTTTGTCATTTGAAGTAACAGCGAATTATAAACCATATTTCATGACAGCTTAAAAAGTTAATTTACAGTTATAACATACGTCTACAGACTAATGCGGTGACAATAGACAATTCATAAAATTATTAGGGTAGATGAACTTAGGACTTGTGAAGAAAGCCTTTGCGATTAATTTCTGAGTCTGTTGATGGAGAAGAGGTCTGTCGCTTTCGTTGATATCATCTAGTTCATCAATTATAGTACCACAGAATGTAACCAGCTGAACTATGGATTTTCTCGTTCATTTCATCCTCAGTAGAATCTATGTTAAATAATATTCTGTTTGTTTAACCTATGTGATACTATGAACCAAAGCGATAACCCGTTGAGTAGTAATTTTTAACTCCAATATTTTTTCATCTTTCTATTGTCTGATTCTTACTTAAATGCTTTTAGATGGTTGCTTTTTCAAGAATAACCTCAATTCAGACTGACGTCAGACAGAAAATAATGTAGAACCAAAAGGTACTGAACAACCAGCTGCTCTGTAAGAGGGTTTCCTAAATGTAAATTTTAACAGTCAACTAGTTAAAAACATTTTGAACAGGAAACTCTGGGAATAATCATTTTACATACTATGAAAGTGACTTTAAGGTCAATCAAGAGTCCGCTACAGAAAATCAGGAGTTAACATGTGGATGGTAGTCATTCTCAATAAGCCCGAATTTCATCTTATATACACCGTGAATGTATTCTGCCACTCAGTCTACAGCATTTGAACGATTTCTAGTGTATGTCAATCATTGACGCATGTTACCTTAAAAGCCCACCTAATAAGTGTCATTTCAATAACTATACATACTGACTCATTCCAAAAACATCCTAGTAGAAATAAATCCTGTGACAACCTTCATTACAAATAGTTGACCACTAAAATCAATTATTTTCGTTGACCGAAATAAAAGTGTTAAAAAGGACTTCAAAAAAGAGTCTCCAAAATCATGAGATAACTAGTTTTCTGTCGCTAGTTCAAACGTTAGATGGAAGTAAAACTTAGTCACCAGTTAGGTAGCGTAATTCATTCAGTAAGGTGCTTAGTGAACAAATTATGTACCATTCATTTATATCATATCACAATCTAAATTTACTCTCAGAGTGACCAACCTCCCAATTCCTTAGTGATCAATTTTACAAAAAATGGATACTTCACGAAGTCTCATCAACAATGTATGTACCTTCTGAGATGTAAAACTATTGGTTGTAAAAGAAATGATAATTGAATTTGACCAAAAAGCACAGGAGAACAAAAAGCGTTAATTCTTAGAAAAAAAGGTTATTATAGTGTTTGTCAATATGTTCTCTCTCATTAATATTGGTTTATTCATTCGTTGAACTGATTGATACGTGGAACAAACCCTGAAGGATGAAAACAACAGTGATAATAATAATATAAATACAACAAAATGTATTTTTATTTTCATTCAAACTCAATAAACCAAAAGAAAAATAATTAAAATTGTATACGGGTATTTAGAAATGAAAGTACACATTGAAATAACTTGATAGAATGAAACAGAAATATGAAAGAAAACAGGAGAAGATAATGTCAGATTGGGACTATTAAAAAAATGAGACAAAACAATCAAAGCAAATGAAGGAAAAATCAAGAAGAAACAATATTATATTACTTAATGGATTATTCTATTTTTATTATCAGTAAATGTACACATACATGAGTGGATTGAATAGTAAGCAATCTCACTCACAATTAGATATGTGGATGTCTTTGCAGATAATATTTACATCTACACTCAAAAGCAAATGTAGTGAGTGTATTCTTATATCATGACAACGGAACATTGTACTTGTAAGAGGAAGTTTCAATACAAGACAATAGTAATGATAATAACAACAATAACGGTAACAACAGAGAACAAATAATTGAACCACAGAAGAGTGACAATTAGGCAAGATGTTAATGGGATTGATAGAAGTACAAACAGATATCAGAAAGTTCTCTCTCCATTTTTTTCATCTCTCTTGTTAGGTAGCCACAGTTGTGAAGAATGGATATCTTACTCTATTCCAGTAAAGAAATGATGAATATTGTAATCACTGTTGTACCATAACTCAACTTTAAAGTCATGCTTGAAATGAAGAATAGGGTGTTTTGAACAATATGGCGCTTTTACATCAAATACAAAGCAATATCATTACAATAAATGGCCATATATATGACATTATAACTATTTACAAGTATTCTTTATGCACAGAAATTTCGATTTCATCAGCATACTTTACTATTATAACATCGTAGTAAGTAGCATTGTCAGTAGTATCGGTTATTAATTATACTGTAAGCGCACTATGTATAGTTTAGTTATTCACTGAAGATCTGGCAGAATGATGAAACGACCTAGAATAATGATGTTCATCCAGAGGAAAGCAAGAAAAAAAATTACTGGTGGAAATGATGAAAAGTAGTGAAGCCAAAAGTCAAAAATCAATTTTAACGTCACATTGGGGTTCTTAAAGTTTCTATTTCCAACAAATTAGTTTCATAGACTCACTTTTAACAGAATTTTAAGTAGTTATGTAGAAAACTGATTTTATAACAAATAGTTGGCTCATTTTGCAAAATTCTTCCCCATAAAGCCAAAAATGAGACCAATATAAAGCTATACAGAAAAACTGTAGTTACAACAGCGCTGCATAACATAGAATGAAGTAATGAAAGAGAGAGAAAGGATAATGGTGAATTAAATGCAAAATGTTTGTTTCATTAAAGAGAGTTTAGTATTGAAAAAATAAAGACTCACAGATTGACCTATTCGTTTCGCTTAAACTTGACTGCACAGTCTAGTTTCTTGACTTTCATCCGTTGATAAGTGAGATGAAAGTAGTAAAGGCAATTCTTCCATAGAATTAGGCTGTCCATTGACAACAAAAGTATCACCAATCATTACACTACTATTATTGTTGTTATTATTGTTACTAGCCATTCGACTACATAAATGGCTGTTATTACTGGTATTTTTATTACTATTATGAACACTTATAAGTGAGTTTTCCATCATTTCTGGAATTGTTGTCTGATTCATATTTGTGTTTGGATATAAAGAGTATAGATTTGTATTATTACTGCTACCACTGCCACCGATTGCATTTCCATGTCTTATAAAAGCTGAACTATTCATAAATGTGTTTGACGTTGGTTTGGTTGATTCAGCAGTCTCTGACTGATTTTTACTAACTCCTTGTGAATGACTTTTAATAACTAAACTTGAACGAAATGTTGCCGGAAATGCATTATCGTATGGACCACTACCAAACGTGATTGTGCCAGCTTTTTCCTTATCATTTACCTTTTCCTCTGTTGATTTATTGTCTGATGGACTACTACGGATTAAAGTCGGTCCATTTGACATGCCAGATGCACTCACATCGGTTGAGTTGATGTCATCTCTAAATGTAACTCTTGGTCCATTTGAAGGTGATGTAATGTTAACAGGAGTTATTGAACCGTTGTTGTTCTGTGAAATAAGGTTCATTAATCCACATTCACCAGGTGAAGATGCTATAGCATTCTGATGTGATCTCATATAAGTTGGTTCATTTGAAGTACCAGTTCTTGGAAAGTTTCCATAAGGTTCAGATGCTGTTCGTGGATCGGTGGATGTTACATTTGGAAAACGGCTTAGTAAGGAAAAGGAATTTGAATGGGAAACTTTTGGTGATGTGAGACAGAATCCCGAATATGAAGTTCCACCTTGAATTGGATTTTTATCTGGAACGGATGCAGAAAATTATGAACAATGATGTCATTTGCAAGATTTAAAATTAATTCCTCTTAGGGAATAACAATAGCCTCATAAACACTCACATTTATGGGATGTTTTTTGAGAGGTACCTAAGAATGCCCCTGTAGAAACACATTTGTACCTATTTACACTACTAACTGTTTTTTGCAAATTATAAAACTTAATCCACATGTTTTTCAGATTTCACGATAATCGCTGTAAAGTTACAAGGAAGTGTTTCATGCTACTAAGTAGTTTAAAAGTAGTATACGTTTGAAACATGATATTTTCAAACGGTCATAATTTTAGAGGTCAGAATTTGAAGTACTATTTAAAGACTAGCTTAGGTTTTCATTATCCTTTGGTATGCTCGTAAATAATGGCACAACCTGTATGTTGACACTACACAATTACTGTCAGTCGGGAAAATACTGTCAAACATTCAAATGGTTGTTCTTAGTTCTAATATATTGTCAGCTGCTTTTCCAATCTTAATCTTTACTCAGTCCTAACTACTGCCGTTTTGATTTTGATGCGTCAGTCTTTTTCATTTCATTTAGAATCACTCCGCTAATCATGAGTCGCTTCAGAATGCAGTAGTTTAAGCGGTATCTAGCACAGGTGTATTTTCCGGTGTCAGGAAGTGCTAACAAAATCGTCCAGTAGTCATTTAATAGTCAGTTCACACTAAAAAAATCCTCTTATTTTATCTTAGATGGTTTCAAAGATTTTCCGGCTGATATCCGTACGACTTAAATACTTATCCTGAACTCTGAAGTAGTGACAGTTGCTCCCTACCAAAGGTGTCTCGGAAATCTCTTTCTTGCCTTTTACTTGTGGTTCATTAAAGCTGATCAGGTTGTTAGAAGCTACTGAGTATTCTGTCTGATTGTAGTATTGCTAAAGAAATCATTCAATGAATTTACCACGCAAGCATTCTTAGCTGCTACTTGATATTTCCGTAGTTTGATAAATGGATATTAGTTGAAGAATCATCGAGGACCTAGGCATGATGGATAGCTGTTGATCCCAGTTCTGGTGAGAAGTTATGACCTATAGGAATAGCCGGTTTGGAAGCAAGATGGATGACATAGGATGGTGATCGCACTATATTATGAATCGAGAAAAGGAATAAACGCTGGACCGTATGATTACAACTCGCTTGCGTTCATCATGAAACCCGATGGTCCTGGGCTGGATAAATCATGGGGTTTTGATTGTGAGCTGCTGAAGAATCTCAAAGTAGGATGAAACTGACATCTAGTGCTCCTAAGTTTTTGATGGTTCTGCAACTGCTGTTGTCCCATGTTGAAAACTACTTTAAAATCAGCAAATCTGTACATTCCATAAACTGAAACAGATAGTGGGTTTGTCTTGATTGATATTTGCTACAAAATGAATGTTACGCAATTTCTAAATTACTGAACCTACAGCATTGAAGAACAACCACCTGGTATTGTAGCAACGGTCAGGTGATGTGAGCCGATTGAGTGTGAGGATTTGCTACAGATCTCTAAGACTAACAGAGACACTACTGTTTAATCAGAAAGACATTTAACAAATGGACGAATAATTCCAATTTCACTGGCTGCACAAGGGTAGCCAGTGACCAGTATTCAAAACTTATAAATGCAGATGTTTACGAAAGGACCATAAAATTTCCCTAAACCATCTCCATTATCCCATTATAATATCTTAATTCCGTCTCTTGTTTCTCTTGTATGAATCCCGGTTTACGAGATCTAGATAAGCAGGCAGATAGATTAAACACTGAACCTCGTAAAGAAGTACATCGGTTCAAGTTGCCACACTTTACAGCAGCACGCGAAGAACAAGTGGATCGACCAAGGGTGATACCAAGATAGACAAAAGTGCATGAGTGGAGAGAAAAGTTGAAAATCAAGATCACTAAAAACAGCCAAGTTTTAGAAGACGTCAAAGAGTAAATACATATGAGCGATACAGTCAGTTTCCAGTCATCCCATCAAGAGTCAACAACAATTGATTTCTTTTATCTCCAGAACCCCAAACAGGTAATCTATATTTCTCTACATGGCTCAAACCAACGGTCAGAGACTTCATAGACTGACGTGACGTCTTGGTCCAGTCAGTGGTTTAGGGCGATGACAACCAACTGTCACGGCACGGGTTCGAGTTCCGCTCCACCTACCGAGGTTTGGGCAGCCAGGTAGTATTACTAGCCCGCACACTATAAATGTGGCTCATCGCCTACTTCATGGATGTGCTCAAAGTAAGTAAGTTCATTTCGTTTCTAACCTAATCCAACTTCCGTTAACCTAGTACGCAAGGTAGGCTTAGGCTCGACACGAGCAGCATGAAGGTTCGCAACGTCGTTGCCTGAATTGCCTAGATTGTCTGGCACCCTTTGCCTAACCTAAATGGTGATACCACCACACGTGAGCAATACTGCATAGGCTTCTGTTTTCAAAAACCTATGATTTTTTCTCGTCCCTTTTCGATGGTCATGTCAGCGGTATAACAGGATACAGCGAAATGCAGCACAAGATACTGAGCCATTAATAACCAGTCGGGTTGACGTAGATAAGCGAATACCTAACTACGGTTTTATGTCATATCCTAGGTTTCTTTATCAACCCGCCTATTCAGGTCGACACAACTCTCCAAGTGCTGGACAGCGTATTCTGCTACTTCAGTCGCTGTCATAAAAGTAGGAGTCTTACACCTCGACAGGTGTGAAGCACACACCAAACATGCTAACATTTCTGCTCAAATTGCCTAGAAGACTCTACAATTTGTTAGCTTTTTTGCCTGTCTGTATACTCGAAGTGAACCAGGTGCGCTCTTACGAGTAGATTAATCCCTTTGAAGTAATAGATACCTAGCGTTGAATCTATTAACGCTTCTGTAACAAAGTTAAAAAAGAGTGGTGATACCGTGCACTCCTAGCGAAAACCGTTGTTTGTTGTTACCTCAGGCAAAACTCTCCATAAGCTCTTATGCAGTCACATGAGTTCGAGTGGAGAGCTTTGCTTAGCATTACACACTCACTTTGAACTACTTTCCCAATCAGGGGCTGCCACATCACTTCTTGCTTTTACAGATGAATGCCGCATTTAAATCTACATTTATGGCCATCATCAAGTGCACGTAAAAATGCCTATATCTAAAACCTGTCGGATGGTGATATGACGGACAGACTATCCTCCAAAAACTGCCTACTTTTTTCGTGTTTGTCGTTATGCTCCTCCAGGCAGGCGCCGGAAAGCTGTACACCCTAGGATATTGGACATGACATAAGTCGAACTGATCCCGCTGTAGCTGTCCCGTCAATACTTCCTTCCCTTCTTACAGATTGAAATGATCGGTGAACCAGACCGTTCTGACGGGGAAACCTCTGATTCACATATACTGCTTAATAGTTCCCTTACACCAATTTCTAATTTTCTGTCTCTATCCTTTAAAACGTCTTATGGTAGACCTTTAGTATCCGCTACTTTTCATCTTTTCTGGTTTGAGACCGCCTCTCAACTTCAAGGACAGGAAAAGGACAAAGATTCACATCCCTTTTAGGTCTTGGCTGAATGCTGAGCAACCGAAGCGTTGCTGTGAGCAAGCTGAACTGTGGTTCAAAGTGTTCTGGCCGTCTGTCCCGAGACGGTTATCAGTGACCCATCCTTTTCGGTAATTGTTTCACCAACTGGCGTCTGCTTATTGCTAGGACGTTGCTTCCAGCACTCATTGCGAAAACTCTGCTTCAAGTTAAGTCTGAGCTGCTCTTCTCCTCGTTGTGACTAGAGTCAGCTGGAATGAGTCCTCTTAAGTCAGTCAGTTTGTATGCGGTTGCAGAAATCTACCGGCCGTTGCTAACCTTTGTTGTTGGTTACCAATCTTCTTATCACTGTTTCTACAGCAAACTGAATATCACACTGGACTTCATCAAGAAGAGAGTTTCTATCATGTTCGGATAGAATCCTTACTCTTCTCTAAATACACACTTAACATCCCCATACATCATTCGATCTCACATAAGCTTCACCGCTGTCTATTTCACTTGATTAGTAAGGCGCAGACATACGCGCACCCGTTTTAACGCGTGATCAGAGTTCAAGCAGGTACTTCAGAAAGAGAGGGAATCCTCATTCGACTCTCTCCAACAATGGCTTAAGGCGATTTAGTATATCCGTGTCTATTTCTAGTTTGATATCAGAAGGTACCTAGTGGTACACTATCTCTCCTTGTGCTTCTTGCAGTGCCGGCCAGAGACAACCGACTGTCAGGAAAAAACTGCAACAGACGGTCACTGTTACAGGTTCGTCGGCATGGGATCCTATAGATGCCTCTAACAGACCTTTCCTATTGGCTCAGCTTTCCCACTCTAGCGTTAAAGTTTCCTACTAGTATGACTACATCTGAATGGTTTGGTTTTTGTAGTAAAACTGACAGTTTTTGAAAGAATTTATCCTTTTTATCATCCAAACTGATAACGGTGGGTATATAGGTGGATTCTCTGCAATTCTCAGGACCCCTCCTAGTTCCCAAAAATTCATTCCATCTGATAGCAAACAGGGAGCTATTGACTGGCATCCACTTTAGGAGCGCCCTTTCTCCTCTACAACGTAATGCGGTATGTACACAAGCGAATTCATATAAACTATCCGTTGAAACCCCGGAAATTCAAACTGAATCTTTTAGGTTCACTGCATTGGCCAGATGAGGTTAAGGGGATAGCCACACTTGGGTCTTATATCCGTGACTCAGAAACAACATATATTCATCGTTCGAAATTTCAGAGTTTTGGCCTGTTGTCCGATTTGGCATGGAGTTCTCCCTTTTTTGTTGGCTTTAATGTGAAATTAATAGTATGGTTTTTGGTGACCAAAAATGATGTTTTCCTGGTTTAAATCGTTAGCAACGATCGCAGGGGGAGAATTCAAGGAAGCTATGAGGGGGCTTAATATTGGTATCTAGAAGTGAAGGGAAAGCGGGGGCACGGGGTACGGGGGTAAAGTAGGGTAAGTATGTTAATAATGGCTTGTACACTGTTGAAAGCGTGCAGACAGTTGGTACTTTTCGACTGCCCACACTGCGGAATTTGTCTCTACAATATACCAGGACCGATGAGGCATTCACTTGAAATCTGCCATACATGATTTTTTTAAAATTGTTGGGTTGGAGAATGCTTGTGTTGACGCAGGAGAAAGCAAACCGGTACCTTCATGAATGGAATGCCATACGTCAAGGGAGGGTGTGACACGTTTGGGACTGATCTTTTGCAACGTCTCTTCCCCCAAGGAAGGCTGCATCAGAACTACACAGCTGCTTATCCGTGAAAAAAATTTTACTGCGACCACATTCCCCTCCACTAAGCACTGTGACTTCTTCCTTAGGTTTCCATCATAATGCAACTACTTACATTGTAACAGCAAATTGTTTTTGTCTTACCAGTATCCCAAAGAGCTTTTTGGTGTGGTAGGACCTCAGTGAACAGAAGTTCCAGCCACTGTGGCTCATTGGGTCATTGTGATATGAAAACCTAACCACCATAACTGAGTAGCAGTGCAAACACCAGTTCACGATCCTGGTCCAGAAACAATACATTAAAGTAAAGAAGCATGAAAAACAAAGGTGGTTGATAGCGACGACTAAGTTTCACAACCTGTAAAACATTCAAACGCGAAGAGAACGATGCCACTAGTTTGTCATTAATGTAAATTAATTTTATGCAGTTAGATTAGTGAAACAAGCGGTTGGAATAAAGGTCTAACAGTTCTTCTTGATTAAACTATAGAAGCTGATGGAAGCACGTGAACATTAGCTTTCAGACAAACCAAGGGGAACGTCAAGAAGTCAAACTATTAGAAAGTATATAGTTCAGGTGAGCATTGGCTAACATTAACCCGTAATCAGTAACGTTAATGTTGAAAAAGTGAGATTTTTGAGCGAAATATGGAAATATCATGACTAAACTGCTCTCAGACAAAAGTTGCTCCAGTATTTACGAATAAACTAAAAATCCGCTACATGATTGATTAATTGATCATCATAGGTTTCTAGAAAAATAAAATGAGTTACCTTTCAGCATCTCCTAGCATGCAGAGGACAGCTAACACAGAAATCAGGAAAGATTAGTAATGGCTACACTGACTTGTAAATTCACGACAACGAACTTCGTGTTGTTTAGTCCTGAGTGTTGACCGAATTCTATAGATTACTTCACCATACTACCATTAGGCAAGGAAGTTCATCATTACGGTTCTATTTGACGGATGTTGGTTGAATGGAGGCAATAAGCAAGAAGACCTGGACCTATGTTTCGTGTTTTTTGGTATTTGCCTGCAAGGTGTACGTAGAACCTCAACAGGACTGATGCCCCCTTTCAGATTTGAACCTGCATTACCCAGTGTTGCAGTCAGCGACGACTGCCAACAAACATTTCTTATAATTGTTCGTTGTGTTGGGTAAGGCTTCAAAACACAAATAACCTAACAACTGTTTTATCATAGTTAGATTTCTGTATCGAGACGGTGAACTTGACTATATTTATTGCGCAATTTTATTCTGGTATCTACAACATAGCATCCTTTTAGAACTCTTTCATGGTTATAATACAAAATCAGTGTGAAATGACAATGTGACAACCTATGAAGAATGAACTAGCACTTCCTTTTCATTGCCAGTTGAATTTAATGAGATTTTTGTAAAGGCACTACCGACTGTAGCAGTGATATTTTATGGATCCTTATGGCTATACTGTACGATGTGCATAGCCATAGATACTATGTGGAATATTTTTCAGTCAAAATGACATGTAACCTTTTACACCACGTTGATGGTGATAATAACCTTAGAATTTAGACCTTTGCCCATCAAAACTAAAGTTCATAGCAGAATATGTAACAAAAGAATGTCTCCCAAACAGCATTAACTTCGAATACACTTTGTAAGTTTTCAGTAAAAACCCAAAAAATTTACTTCAGGCTGAAATGAGGAGACATACGATATTCGCCAAAATTTCCAAACCTTTGTCAGAGACTGTCAAAAGTTCCAAAGTGCGCTTAAAGTTCGTCTCCGAAAGTGTTGAAAGATCCAACATGCACCCAAATATCGGAAATCTGATAAAGGCGCCTGAAGTGGGTTCGAACTAAAACCCGAAGTTTATAAAGTTCACCCGGAATAAATTCTGGCTAGGATGAAATTTATTTCACACACACAACTTACTTGCAGGTTGTATCGTGTTCGTTGAATTGTCATCATCATCAACTCCACCGTGACCTGATGAGCTGGACGACAACTGGTTATTATTTGTTGCATTATTATATGTATTGCCAGTATTATTAATGTTATTACTACCGTTTATACGTCCTGAATATAAACTCAACGTGGGATATTGCAACTGCCCAGATGATGATATTGTAATTGATGCTAATGTCGCCAATCCAATTCCATCATTATTATTGTTATTGGAATTATTACTGCCACCTGCAACAAGGACAGCTTGACCTAAATTTGGCATATTGTTTGAATTCAGCGCACTCTGAAGACAAACGTAGTTATTTCCACCTTCAAAAACAGTCGTAAAACAGAACACAGAGATGATCACATTTCTATGCAAAGTGAAGATATTCTATGGAATTAACTTTACCAAAGCATCTACATGGATCAGTACAAACAGAAGAGAAATAACGGGAGGAAGAGTATTGTGGACACAGAACGCTTGTTAAGACATACGTCGCACATTTAAGTAAACCAAGAATGGAATGGATCAGGAGCTGGGTTAACCTGTAAAAACTTTATTCATATCGGTACGAAACACCAAAATTTTATCTTGTGGCTTTACTGAGACTGTTTTGAAAAATGTTACCGTCACAATACTGACTTTTTTACAAAAATGAAGAAATGTATTTCAACGACACTGGTATGTAAAGGGTATGTACCCTCATTATAACCGTTAGTTAGATGGAAGCAATCGGTAGGTAGCCCTCGATCTAGTTTTCGTGCTTATTGGCACTCGTAAGCAAGGTGTATCTGCAGCTTAGAGGGAACTCGTGTGAGATTTGAGCTCGCGTCACCCAGTGCCTCACTCAGAAACGTTACCACTGAGCTATTCGGGTGGCAACTGACCTCCTGTATGACTGGATTAAGCACAGTGATTGGTCAGTGGTGAGTAACCAACTTCATATCGATAAAATTCGATCAGCACTTAGGACTAGACAATCAGTGTACTCATTACAACTGTTTACTTTGTGAACGTAAGGTTAAGTATATTCAGTATGCTAAATTAAGGATAACTGAACTGAACTACTGGTTAATTCTATGGAATTTAAAACTTCAACCCTCAAAAATTGGCGTTTCATTGAAAATTAGACTCTAGAATTAACTCTAAGGGTATAATTAATAATAAATTTGAAAAGAAACAGTAATCATCAACTCTGAGTTTTATTTAATTCAAAATCTATTTTATAGAGTACCAAGATGGAGGAATATTTACAAGTTTAAAAGCGAAGACAAAAATCTGCTCAATACTGCCGAGTTTTCAATGATTCATCAACTGACTGAAAGTTTTAATGAAAATAGTCAACTCTTAAGTCTTTCGTTACACTAACTATTAGAATCACTGCCTTTTATAAAATAATAAAATCCTGGAACTATAATCAACAATCGGATACGCTGGAATGCGGAAAAGAACCTAGAAGACTTGGATTTTGCCGATGACTTGTGCCTGATGTCTTGTCACACAAACTTAAAGATCTACAGGCGGAAGCTAACAAGTTGACAGAAGAGGCAGCGTAGACGGGACTTCAAGTGAATATAGAGAAGACAGAGGTGATGAAGATACCCAACCAACAACTCCAACAACAACAACAAACTCCAGTCACCATCAACGGGAGAAACTTAAAGCAAGTAACCTCCTTCACCTATCTGCCTAGGAAGCACTGTTTCAACTACAGGCGCCACAGGCACAGACGAGAATGTCAAAGTCAGAATCGGAAAGCAAGACAGGCGTTGATTAGCCTGAAACCAGTGTGGAGATCTTCTCCTCTGCACTCAGCATGTGGAACAAGATCCGGATTTTCAACACCAACCCAGTCAAGTCAGTGCTTCTGTATGGCTCAGAGACTTGGCGCGTCACGAAAGTGATTTCCAATAAACTACAGACATTCATCAACAACTGCTTACGCTGGCTCGCTACTGAAGATCAGATGGATTGCCAGAAAGAATAAGCAGCAAGGAGCTGTGGGAACGAACCAACCAAGAACCTATCGCTGAACAAATATGAAGTGGAAGGAAGTGGAGATGAATATGGCATGCACTGAGAAGGCCGACTGAGGACATCACGCGTCAGGCCAGTTGCTCGAGTGGAATCCCCATGGGAAGCGACGAGTTGGGCGTCCGAGATGAGAGTGATGTGGAGGAGGTCGTGCGAGGAGGGAATGAGAGCTTATGGGCATTGGTGGCTCCAGGTTTGAAGACTACAGAGAAGAGAGTGGGATGAAGGCGTGCTACCGAAGCCCTATGTTCCACTAGGAACCCAAGGGACTAATAATACTAATAAAAATAATCAACAATTAAAACCGTATATATAATAGGATAGAAAAGTAGATTTAGGATAAATGACAGATGTTTTAAAAAACCCAAAGTTAATACAAGTGTAAAACTTGACCACTGTGTTAGCATTTGATTCCATATTAGATTTGTTGATTTGATATGGCGTACAGTGTTACGGTATAATTTACTTGAAAGTTAATACATTAAACAACTTTATTATTGAAAGCTCTTGATGATTAATTGATGTGATACATTGAGCCTGTTGGCACTGTTTGTAGATATCTGTAAGCAATAACATGGCTGAAAGTTTGTTTATCTCCGATAGAGCTAGAGGCTAGATACTTCGTAGAAAGGTGGTGCCAAAAATAAGCTATAAACAGTTGGAATTTTATTACCAAGGTTAGTTTAACAGTGAGGTGAAACTCTCACTTAAAGTGTCAAGACATGAACATATTCTGAGGTGTATTCAAAAGCAGAATATTCAGACATACTGAAATTACAAGAATATTCACATAAGTATGGTATAAATAGGCGATGATGTGTAACTCAGGATGATGAGTTTAATGGTAATGTATAGTTCCTTTGATTGATTCAAAGGTTCGTGTACAGTTGCGGTCATTTATTTAAGTCACTATCAACTCATGTGGACATTCCAGTACTACAGTAGATAAGGCACTGGAGTGAGGAAGTTTTGAATTATCAAGGAAAACAGACTTCCTAATTTTGTATACTTGCCTTTTGATCCATGATAACAACCGGGAAATCTATGTTGAACAAGACTCTCGACTGACTTCTAATGTCCAACACCGAAATATAAAAGTACTTGAAAGTAAACGAGCAAAAACACTGAAGAATCTTTGAAACTGATGGATAGACAATACGAGATCAGACACCAAAAAAGTAAAATAGCTGACTGAAATATGTACGAAAATACTGACATCATTACTTCATTGCACTAAAATAATAAATTTCGCTTGGTTGGCTTGGTAGTAAGCCACTTGGTATGTAGATTTCGAGTTCCTTTCTTAGACACTTTTATACTGATAATCTTGTCTAATGTAAAAATGGAAGTTTCAAGATTAAACAGTCTTGTCCAGGGAATAGAAACAAAAATGCATATGATTTTTAATATACATTTTTACTGATGGAAACTCTTCGTACCAATTACACCACCTCATGTGAAACACGAAATTTCACCAATAGATTGCTCACCTCCAATAATCAAGGTTAATGTAAACTAACAATGGATTATCAGTTTGAGCGAGCCGATGGTTCAGAACTATCAATTTATCTCAAACTTCCATGTATAAAACACTCTGTGATATCAATGAGACTGAAGTACGCATCATCTCCTTATGTCTAAACGATCATATAAGTGATAATATTTCTTGAACAATTCAACAAAAGAAGACATTGACCCCTCAGTCTAAACCATAATGACAACTGTCAACTAATAAATACATGTAAATTAATCCATTAAAGAAGGAAATGGACACTTCTGTAAGTTGATGAACAACACATCTTTGTATTTGAAATGATAATTAAGTAATAATTAAGTTCCGAAACAATACTGACCAAATATCATGTTCAACTAACACACAAGATTTCTTTTCTCTCTTTTTTAAACACAGATCTGATGAAGACGCTGAACATTTATCGGTATACAGAGTTGTTCACTTACTAAGAATTGCTTTTCTAACTTGTCACTATGACTAAAATCTTTCAACTACAGAAGTAAGAAAGAAAAATTAGCCATCTGGTCAATTTTCTAAGCTTTTCTTTATAGCAAAAACTGAAACTCATGGCATTCATGAACAACTGTTCACTTAAACAGTAATGTGTAATATGATGCCTTACAATTTACCAATCAATAAATCCTGTGGCTGACAGTTGCGACCAATTTTATTTTTTTCCTGTAAACTGCGATTACTATTAGACATGGTAAGTGAATACACTTTTCAAAACAGACTAACAACCTCTTAAATGACACACAGGAGTGTGAATTAGGCGCTTCATCCTAATTGAGATATGTATCGACTAACGAGTATTTCATGTCAAGTATTTGTTCAGATTGGATCACATATTTGTATTCATGTCAAGTACGTTGATGACCTGATAATTTCCATACCTTTTTCCTCGTCATCACATTGTTCTCATATGAACAATTTTCTTTCTGCTGTTGGATGATGATCCTTCACAAATCGTTTTGTGCTTCATTCTTCAGAATGTCAAACTAAAAACTTTAGTTTCAGATGAGAACATAACCTATGTAAACTGCTTAGGTCTCATGATTCCTGCTCTACTGATGGTTGTATATTAGAGAACGTTACAATTGTGATCCATCTCAGCGTGTTTTTCTTCAAACATTTCCTGGTCCTTCAATGTCTTACTAATTTCCAAAAGAATCTTCCACCTAACTTACTATTTTATAAACTGGAGAGTATCTGATGTAATTAAGTTTCCACTTTTGTGTTTTATAAACTCCTACATCTTGCCTATTCTCCTCTATTGCTCTCCTTTATTCTTTCCTGGGTTGCTGGAGACAGGCTACGACGTATTGTGTAGAACTTTGAAGATTGTCAGCAAAACTAGTGGTTTATCTCCAAACCTTTTAGTTGAAACTGTTGTGAACAAACATCTAGCAGGAGTTATTTTATTACATGACCAGCATGGTCTTCCCTCAAAGCTCTCTAGGTGTCACTCCTCAGGGACAATCGGAAGAAAGTATGTAAGACTTTATGCACGTGCTACTAAATATAAAATATTTACCATACCTTGTTTAGCTCGCATCCTGTACGAGGAAGAGAATCATAGAAATGAACTAACTAATTTCACTGAAATATCTTTCAGAATAAAGCCATTATTATTATTATGTCTACGAATCAGTTGCCCGTAGCCTCAAATGAATTTCAAAGAGGTGCTGACCAAAACACTGATCAGAGACAACGCTAAGGACATAATTATATCACAAATGGTTTATTGCAAAACTAACCTATGTACAAACTGGTTAGCATATAACATGTAATGTGTGCCCAAATTACTTATTCAAGTGGTGGGATATGACCACTCATTCAGTATAAATAACCGCAGATTTTATCAGTAGATTTATACACTAAGTATACTTTTAAGCTTTCCGAAGTAAAATCAAGGACTGCAAAGTTTCACAACTAGATCGTTGCACCCATTATCCCCATGATGAGGTTCGGATGAATGAAAGTTTTTCTAAGACAGTGGTATATATCTTTACATTGTGTTAATTCTGCTTAAACCAGTTGACGTAAATATATATGGTAGCATTATATAGAATAACTTATGGGCAACAAATGAATAACATAATTTAATACAGAACACGGTTGGAAAATAAGTGTAAAACAAATATCTTTCTCAATCTCTAATCGATAAATATTGATTTCATCGCTTTTTCCTGAAGTCAATTGTTATATCTTTCCGTAAGTCTCAAACGACTTTGTTATTAACTCGAAAAACTGATATAATGTCAGTTCACTTTCAACATTCGTTAAATAGAAAGGCGAAACATTCTTTCTTCACAATAAGATATAAGCCGTATTAACAGATTAGCATGATAATATGCTGATCATTGAAAACGGTTGTATTACCTACCAATATGCATAAAAGTAGAGTCTTTAAATGACATAAATCTGCTTATTGATGACAATTGTTTGAAGTTACTTTAAATTTAAAAGGGTATTCTATTAAAGGTAGTAATTTAAGAACACGTTTCACACTGTTTTCTACTTTCAGACACTTATGATGATATAAGTAAAAGATAGCTGTGATTTCTGCTCATAAGATTCAAAATCTTGTCATGCAGCAAACCCCGCCTGATTTCATCACATTTCACTTACTATAAACAGTACCAGTGACATCACAGGTAGAAAGTATCTTGTTATGAAAAATTCAGCATAATCTTGCTTAAACAGTCGAAGAAGTATGTCGTATACAACTATAGTTTCAATCAATTTACCAATAAATTCTATTCCTTAGATCGAAAGTAGAACTTTTCTTACATCATAAATATAAATGGATTGCGATTTCACCCTCAACCGAAGGAGTAGGCTGAGAGTCATACAAAAGTTTAAAGAGAGCACCTGTTTGCAGCTCCTAAGTAAAAGGTAATGAAGGCCTTGAGTTTTTTTCAATTTCCAAGTTTAAGAGAGGACATAAGTTAAAATCAACATGCCTTACTGTTGAATCGAAATAAGGCGCCTATACTACTGGAATGAATAATGTTTATCAGTTTCACAATGAGTGATAATCAGTTATTAGACAGTAAGTGAAGACCACACGCTGGACAAGTAACCACTCAAAAAAAGCTAACCTTTAGTATGTCACAACCTTATTTTTAAATCATTCATGATATGTACTCTAGTCTGGTTACTTTTTGGTCAGATATAACTAAACAAAAAGAATATAAAACAAAAGTAAGATTTAATAGTATTTTTCTTCAAAGCTAAAATATTACACAAAAACAATACTGCTTGAAATATCAAAGTTGAAGAAAGCATATTAGGTGAATTATAAGTAGTAAAGTTTTATTCACTTAGATTACAACCAGGAAAGAAATATTCAGACGGTCATCTAATTAGAAGCTATTTAAGGTTAAAGTGGCGAAATAACATCTAGGTAACTAAAAGTAATCGATAGGAAGCCCTAACAGAAGTATCATTCTTATTTGCGATTAGAGAAGATCTGTTACCCAGAATAATATTTTTGGTGATAATCGTTTGGTATCCCCCTACATTTGAAGTTTTTTTGACCTTTCATCAATGGGATACATGACTTAATCTGTAGTTAATTATCTGAAATTGTCAATTAGCATATCTGCAATCTTAAAGGGAGCGATATCTTCGCAGAGACTCAGATCTATGTCATGCAATACAACATTCGAATATTTTGCCATGAAGCTATTTGTGTCGTAACCGGTACTCTGTAGGATTGAGTGATTTACAAGAGTTGGTCACCGAAGATTAAGTAATTCCATGTTTTTTTTCCACACGTAGTGAAAACTGATATACACCCCCCCCCCCCCCCGAAAAAAAAGAAATCAGTGACATAATGGTCAGGAATTAAAAACAATGTCACAGGGTTTAGACTATCTTTGTTATTATGTGTTTGAGAATCATTAGGTAAAATTTCATTTCCATTTTTAACATTTTATGCTTTCTCTGCTTGTATTCGAACTGCTATTTCATTTGGTGGAAAAGGAAAATGATTACTAAGTTGGCAGGTCATCTTTCTGTTTTTTACCACTGTTTTTGAACCTTAGTCTGGAGAGCCTTATCACTTAAAAGGAAACCATTTTTCTTCTTCAGGGATTATTTTTCTAATGAACCGAAATTCCTCATGTCTAGTCATAGAAGAAAAAATTAAGAGTGAAGGGAATTTTCTATTCGACGATCTCATTTAGTAAAGTTGTACAGTAGCACTTATTAGTATTGTGAACAAATAACGGTCTGTTGTTAATCAATAGACGATTACCATAGTTTTTCAGTGGAGAATAAAAATTTTTTTCTGAAGATAGAAGCGTCTTACAACTCTCACCACAGTAGGGTAAGTGAAGGCTAGTAACGTTTTTAAACACAAAGATAAAGCTTAGAAATGCTAAGTGCCACTGATTAAACTGCGTATAAGTGACGAAGCTGAAGTTCTATGAAATTGTAGGCAAGCATTCTGTAAATTACTTTGAAGGAACCAGTGAGGGGGGTTGGGTTTCCAGGGATAGCAAGATGCTCAAGGATAGGATTGTTTATATTCCTTTTTCACCTGGATAAGAAAGCTAGATAGTTTTTTAAAATACGTTGACCGACTTGATGCTTTGTATGGACAATGCACTTTGCTCCACTGGAAGAAGTAGACTGAAGGAGCAGGTACCATAAACTATGACCATAGCAGTGACTCCCTTCCGTTTTTACAAATAAAGTTTTCTCCTATGCTTGGACACTGTATTGATCATTATTATTATTATTCTATTTATTATTTGTCCTTGGGTTCCTAGTGGAACATAGCGCTTCAGTTACACGTCTCCATTCCACTCTCTTCTCTGCAGTCTTTTCAACCTGGCTCCACAACAGCCCACAAGCTCTCATTTCTTCCTCACATGATCTCCTCCATGTCAGCCTCCACTCAGACGCCCAACTAGTGGTCCTCCATTCGGATTCCACTCGATGGTCTGACCTGGCGCTTGATGTCCCCAAACCGTCTTCCTTCTCAGTATATGCCCAATCCAATCCATCTCCACTTCCTTCCACTGCATATTTGTTGTGTGATAGATTCTTGGTTGGTTGGTTCGTTGCCAGCCAGCCAGCCAGCCAGCCAGCCAGCCAGCCAGCCAGCCAGCCAGCCAGCCAGCCAGCCAGCCAGCCAGCCAGCCAGCCAGCCAGCCAGCCAGCCAGCCAGCCAGCCAGCCAGCCAGCCAGCCAGCCAGCCAGCCAGCCAGCCAGCCAGCCAGCCAGCCAGCCAGCCAGCCAGCCAGCCAGCCAGCCAGCCAGCCAGCCAGCCAGCCAGCCAGCCAGCCAGCCAGCCAGCCAGCCAGCCAGTCAGTCAGCCAGCCAGTCAGCCAGAGTTCCTTGTTGCTTATTCTTATTGCTCTGGCCACCTGTAGTTGAAACGATGCTGCCTTGTCTAAGTAGATGAGAAAGGCAACTTCTTTTAAGTTTCTCCCGTTGACGGTGATTGGAGCTTGTTGTTGTTGTTTATTATATTACCCTATTATTTGTTCAGAGACTGTTATTCTTTTCTAATGCATAGAAATATGATTATAATGCTTTGGTAAATGATATGGTTGAAAAGGGAATTTTTCTAAAAGCTATGCCAGTTCTATAATTATTGATTATCAGTCTATTCTAAGTTCAACGTTTATCAAGATCCTTCATAAAGTGAATAAAGTGACTTGTCAAAGAGTTTACACATCAACTTCATATACTCAAATTTGACTCAGTCTTTGGTTCTAAGCTCTGTCTTATCTATTTGAGCTGTCAAGTAAGTAGAATGTTTTCTTTCAACAAGATCAAAACTTCATCAATCTATTTCAATCTTGTCACCAGGAATTGCAAGTTAATGTTCAGTAGTGATGAAATGATCGCTCCTCCTAGCGAATGTACAAAACTTTTCAATGAACGCAATAGACATAAAACTGGTTTAAACTCAAGTCTTCAGGTATACAGAGGAAGTTCAAACTTTCAAAAGAAATTAAAAACTCCACTTCCCACCATTGCGTTCAATAAAAATCAAAGCCGCACAAAATTTAAATACTAAACCATACAGTCATATCAGGTAGTTTTTTTCTGGGATTAATAAATTAAATGAAGCTATAAACTGATAAAAACAAGCTGATCTTACCACTTTGTCGACTTCCAGCTTCAGTATCTTCACTTCCATATTCTCCATTACGTGAATCTACATTACTATTAGTCTGATGACTAGGTCCATTGGATGAATTCACTAAATTTAAGGTGTTATTATGATTACCAGTATTATTATTATTTATCATTTCTGGGCTAAGTAATACCTGGGCATTCATTGGCATACCAATACTTGATGCACTGGCTGATACGCCATAGAATCCTGTGTTTCTGTCATGAAAACAAGCATAAATAGGACTTGATGGTACACCAACTGCCTGTGCTCCATTCACATCTGTATGCGTAAAACCATCATCAGTTGAACCGAGTAAAGTCATTTGTGTATGAATATTTGTTGAATTTGGATTATGCAATGGTCCTGTTAGTCGGTTAATTGTTCCATTCATTGGTATCCCATAATTTGATGCTGATGTTGTTGTTTGTCGTATTTGACTATTAAACATTGAATTGTGTATCATATCATTGACTGGTTGATAACTAATGGGTGGGATAAAATTCATTGGTTGAAATCCTGTTGTCATAACACCTGGTGATGATAATGTTTGCAGGGGAAGATTCACCTAAATTATGATAAGACAGGAAAACAAATTTAACAAGCAGCACCAAAAAGTCCATTGCCATATAACGTAACATTGACTCGAGAAACTGAGAGGTGAAAACAGTTTTAAAGTGTACAAGATTTCATGAGATGTTCAAAAGACATTTGAATGATTAAAACAAATTGAAAGAAAAGATTTGATGAAAAATGTTGGGTAGATAAATTTGGCAGCCCAAGGTTCAAGCAGGCTACCGTTCATGTATGTGGATTACACACATTTTCATAGTGACATTTGGGATATACTCCAGCAGGAAGTACTTGAAACGACTTTTCGTTTACCATTAAAAAACAGAAAAATTTACCAAATCCTTCGGTATTTTCTACCTAAAAAGAGCCGAAAACTGACAGCTGATGAAAGAAAATATGAGTTAATATCTTCAATTCCCATTATCAACTGTCAAACCTCGTCTGTAATAAAATCTTTATATGCAGCTTCTTCAATATTCTTTTGAATTCTATTAAGATGCAAGTTGAGCATACATGTCACTTTTATCAGAATAAATAAATAATTGACGATGGTAGACAGTCTATTGTTCCGTTAGTGGATGTCCTTAAAGAATTTTAAAGAATTTTAGGCAGTAGGCAATTAATTCTTACTTCAGTATAAATTCCTTACTAGATGAGTAAAAGTAAGTTCCATCTATATTATTAGTTGGAGTACTCATAGCCTCATAAATTGCCTGAGATATCATGTACATCATAGCTCTCTGACTCGTTTCATACAAGTATTATAACTAGTCTGTTAAAAGATTTGTTACGTGAATAGATTATTGTTGCATCTTTTCTGTAGTAGCGCTAAGAAATATCAAAATACGATCATACCATACTGATTCTTTCATACTTCTGCAATGCTCAAGAGGTAAAACCCAAAGAAAAAACATTTAACACTTATTTTTCATTATCAGTTTAACTGGCAACATAGAATTAGCTCGGGTAATTCATGAATATAAATATGAATACCAAAATGCCACCTTTCTGATGGGCAGTTTTATACTTTTTGTACTGAAGTGTGTGAACAATAGCTGATAAACCGTGTCTTTTCTCTACTGATTCCTTTTGGATCGTGTAACATTTTATATCTTGACGTAACTGAGACTGAACTTTGTTTAAAATTACCAACTAGACAGATGGTCTACTTTGAAAAAAGGATGTGAACAATAATAAAAGTCTGAAAAGTAGGCAATTACATCTTCAAACTGTGTTATCCTATCTTTCTAGCTAACCGTTTGTTCTATAAATAAATGACCGCTGACGCATTATCCTAGTCCATAACTCTGTGGCATTTGAAGCACTTGGTTCAGGGTACGAGTGGAGACAACATCACTCACTAGAAGACGGGTGAATTCATCTGAAGAGTCCGAATAAGACGAAATAAGCTACGCCAACCAAGGCTGAAGGACTAATGAAACGGAATTGCAAACTAGAAGACATGTAGTAATAAGTATTAGTTACACATACACGCACATATGATAAAGTGAACCACCTGGAGGTGATTACTTCACCACTGGACTGATCAGTTTATTTGGTAAGGGTTTGCAACTTAAGTCATTCAGCCTGATAAACAGGTTTTGAAGAAAAACAAAATTCGGTGAATAATATTGCCTAGTACTAACTGAGCAGTTCATTCATATGAATATTCTTATCATGTAAGGGATACCTTTATCCTTGATAAGTTCAAAAAGCCTTCGTTTTTGAATTGTATGATAATGAAGGTTTATTTTTAAGGACGCTAAATAGTTGATCCAAGAATTGCTAATTACTTACAGTTATTTATACAACGGTTACTCACTAAAACAGTTCTTCATTGATATTTTAGAAAAAGAATACCATAAATTAAAAGACCCATGCATTCAAAACTTAAGGCTGGATTTCGTTTCACTTTTTAAATGGGTTTCTAATGTATTCGCTGATAGAGAGATAGGCAACTAGGCAATATTTCGCAGGTGATCAGCTGCTTTCATATAACCGACAATCTATAGGCCGATTAAAGAAAAAGTATACCTTTAATAACTTTCAATGAGATGTGGAATCTGAGTCACTCTAGAGGCTCCACTTATAACCACTCAAATAACCAACTATTTAGGTGTGAAAAGTACTTTTTCCATAAAATACGAAAACTTAATTGGTTATTTCAGTAAACATCAGAGTTATCTTAAGAGTAAGTAATAAAATTTGAATATTTCTTAAAAAATCTTAGGAGACTAGTGTTTCACATTGTAAAATAATTTCAGAAATGTTATAACATGAAATAAATTTAAGTAGAAAATTGGTCACCCTACCAAACACTGCAATAGTCAACTAACTTTCTTATTTCAGCTGTAATGGCAATTTTCACATAAACCAAATAAAATTCTGAAACATGCACAGAAATGTGATAAAAAAAATGGTTGAATTGTAAGTCATTTATTCAGCCTTTAATCATAAAACCAAAAATGAGATTCCAAGTATTAGATAGAAGTTTAAAACGTATGGAGACAACACACATCAACGAGGGGAAAACTATTGAAGCACTTAATTAAAAATTGACTGTTAGACAGAAACTAAATAGTTTAACGCTCTATTTAACTTTTAGGCATTTCATTGTGAATATACTTTATCAAAAAAGCTTTCTTTTTACTTGTTTTAACCATTCAAATGTAAACAAATCATGAAACATACTCTTACGCACTCTTAGAACGTCTTCAACTTATCCTTAGGTGGGCTAACAACAAGACTACGAGAAAATACCACAGTAGATGGCATTTGGACCCTAAGTGCACAAAAGTGCAACGTATAATCATTACAGGAACAGGTGAATGGGACAGTAAATTTTCATACTAGATGAATGAATCTCCGCCAACAAACTCACGTATCCTTTTCTATCCAGTCCACGTGCAATAACATATAAACTAGATGATTAACTATAAACTGCTGGTTTTTGTGCATTACTGTCTATCATACTGTTACTATTAATATTATTTAACTGTCAAAGCTTTTTAATTTGAGAACATTATGCAAGTGGTACACTTTTTGAAACATCACACTGACAATTTCAAACTGTACTAAAAGTTATTGTCTGGATTAAAGTGATCATTATTGTTAACAGTATTATTAGTAAATGAAAGCAAACGGAATGAGTATTACTTCCCAAAGTTCTAGTAAGAGGTCGTGACCGGTGGGGAAAATGAAGTGGGATTCGGAGAAAAATACCCAGTGATAGCATTATATGAATGTCACGCTATATCACGAATTGACAAAAACAGGAAAATGTGGACCACGGGATTCCTATCCAGTGGCTCAATGGTAATGTGTTGATCTCGAAACCCGAGAATCCTATGTTTGATCCCCGATAGGATCATGAGTGGGCAGTAATGAGTCCTACTCACACTGGAGTGAAGCAGCTGTCGATTGCTTTCAGTAATTCTGCAACTAACGCCAACCTGTGATGACCACCAAGGTGAAACCAGTAAATCTCCACAAACCCCTGGATTGACATTTAGAGAATCTACTGCATTTTACAGTATCAGATTACTCACAACGTCATCATCTAGCCTATATCATTATGAAGAATTTATGGAGAGAATAGTCAATCTTTTTTGCTTTTTTAACTGATGATCGTAAATGAAGTTGCTTAACCTTATTTAGTACGTTGTAACTGAGTTGCCCACCAATGCCTCAAATAGCATCCTATGAAAAAACAGGGTTTATATTGAAAAGAAATGACTAGGATACTACAAAGCCCATTAGCATTACTTATAAAAAGTAACTCGACTAGTTTTTTTCACTATTATTCTACGAGGTATCATCAGTAAACTTTCTGACAATCTATAGAATGAGTAACTTATTGGTATCATTCCAAATACAGTAATCTGATAATTCGTTACTTGCGATAACGTACATAAAGGGTTAAAATCTTAAAGTGCCGATTACGCACTCTATAATGTCTGCAGGCAAGATGCGGGCGAACAATAATCTCAAGGAATCTATGAATCTGTTCACATTTATGCTGATGTTGTGTCTTATTGGTTCAGGCATTTGAGCGTCAACAAACGGGTCACGGGTCCGAACACCGCTTCTCCCACCGAAGTTTGGACAACTAGATAGTATCAGTAGCCCTCATATAATAGATGTAGTTTGTTGTCTACTGGACAAACTTGCTCAAAGTTGTTAAGTGGTTTTCGCTCATATGTTTGTTCACCTATTTAGGCTATTGTTCTATAACGACAATCCTTTGTAATGAAGAGCCTGCTTATCTTTCTAAAGTTTCTGTTCAGGTCACCCATAAACAGAATATCTTTGGTTGCCCAGAAATCTTTGCCAACCTCCTCACTGAAATAAGTCAACAACCAGTGTTATTAAATTGCTCCTTAATTCTATTTATAAGTTCAGTGTGTAAGTTGGTTAGAAGCAAACAGGAAGACGATTTGAACCTAGGTTTTGTGGTTGTTGGCAATCATCAGAGTTGCGTATCTGGAACCTCGAGGGAGCTGATGTCTTGCCTGAGACTCAAACCCCCGTCACTTAATTTTGAAGTCAGTAACGCTACCACTGAACCTCGCCTGGTTAACTAGTTCACTAGTTACTAGCCGGTCCTAAGCCCGAGTAAAGAGGGAAGGTTGGGCATAGGGCTAGCAACCCTACCCCGTAAAACAAATCTAACCGCTAAAGAAACTTCAAAGCACAAACAAAATATAAAAAATGAAAACAAACTTATTCCCCGCTGGAATCGGAGAGGCGAAATGACGCCAGTTGGTGAAAGCCTTCGGGAAGCCAATTGGCCGATGTGTCTTCTCTCTCGATGAAAGCGAAAGTTAACGTGGGGACATGGAATGTCCGCACGATGTTTGAACCCAGTAAGGCAGCCCAGATTGCAAAGGAGATGAGAAGGTATCACATCGAAGTGCTTGGGATTTGCGAAAGCAGATGGAATGGGAGTGGACTCTCCAAACTGTCAACTGGAGAATCAATAATCTACTCCGGTCA